AAGCTTCCTTGATCCTAAGGGTAATGAGCGTCTTTATATACATGATGAAATCCTCTGGTAGATCTGGTAGATCTGGTATACTGATCATACTAATCTACTGGTAGGTTTGATAGATGAATCTATCAGTCATACCAATCTATCGGTCACATGATCTGTACCCTCTCCGGAAACACGTCCTGCCGTTCCGTCGCTTAGTCTCTGTCAGCCCTCTTGTTAGGTTTATTCCTACCCAATGATTTCTTGATTGTTCATGCGGGGTGTTCCCTTAGGTTTGTAACAGATTTCTATGCCATCAAGCAGAGCTCTATTCAGAATCTGAATCTTGATGAATTGATGAATTAGTTGACTATTTGTGTCACTATCACTACAACTCATTTCAACTCATCTGCTGTGAATACTGCTACTGAATGATTCAATGAACATCAATGCCACTACTGTGAAAATATAGAGTATATGATCAAACACTGCTAATTCAAGAATTCAAATCTCACAAGCACTAAATGACAAGAGTATAATAAAAAGCACATTGAGATATTGAAAAATAGAGATAGAAATAAGACTAAAAATAAAGATAAAAGTAAAGATAGAAACACAGAGAATCTACTTGCAAATCAGTCAAGTCAAACATTCTTTACAACAATTTCTTCAAATATTTAAGAACTTTTGAGAAATTAGTTAGATTATGAGTGAAATAAGAAAAAAATTTGATGAATACAGCAATTGAAATACAAGATAAATTGACAGAGAAGATGAATATGATTGATTTGAACAGGACATTAGCTAGTCTGTATGATAGCTAGTCTGTACAGTAGCTTGTCCAAGGAGAGGTGTTGAAGCCTAGGCTTCCTATTATGGACTAGCGCACCGCACAATAGTATATAGCATCCCTGAGATAGGCTACCAATACAACCACTTCAGACGTCCAACAGATTATGCCTAATTCACGTCACGTGACCATACGACCACGCGGGTCGCCCGATTAGGCCTAATCCACATCGCGTGACCACGCGACCATGCAGGTGGTTATAATCCAGGCAGGCCCCAGCACCTTCTTTCATCTCATCAAGCTTAGTATTTTGTTATAGCAGTTAGCAACATAGAGAGTTTCCTTCTTATGCAGCTCACATTCACTCCCTAACATATTTTAATAAAAAAAGAGATAAGAAACTCTGATATATTTATATATATCAATATAAAAACTATAGTAATATTAATCAGTAGTTTGAAAATATTTCAATTTCTAAAATATTTTTTTAAAATTAGATTTTTCTCTCTTTTATATTTTTTGATTAATATATTGAGTAATTCTAATGAGTGTGATATAAGCTTTTGAATAAGTGTTTAACATAGTAATTAAAAAGAATCTATACTTAGAGTAAGATTTGAAAGAGACTCAGAGCTTAAAGTATTGATTTCTAAAAATTTTATATGAGTTGTATGCTCTTAATTATAGATCTATATGTAGTTTACAAGATTTAAAAATGTTTTATTAGAGTTAAATTCTTAACTCTGTTTAACACTGTAATGAAACTTCTATTATAAGATAAAAAACATAATCTTATCATGAAAAAAGTCAATATAATCTACACAGTAATTAAGTTCATCAGCTGAGTTTTGTTTATTTGAGCGGTGATACAAGATAAAGTTATACACTAATAGCAGTTCTACTTATCTAGACTGATGTTAATTCAGTGTTTTAGTTATCATAAAATATTAAATATTGACATTATCAGAATAAATAAAAATTTAAATATTAACTTTCTTTCAGATAATGATGTCAATTCTTGAAGAATATAACAATTATAAGAAGTTTCTTATCATAAATATCATATCATATTTCTATATTTAAAAGTTTGTAAGACTAAAAAACAATTAAATATCATTAATTATTATCTTGTTTTTGAGAAATAATGATAGTCACTGCTACTGTAAAGATATTAGATTTAATCTAAATTTCTTAACTTGAGATAAAATAAGTAAGTAAAGAAGTCTATATAAAGTATTTTTTTAAGATGTCAAAGATATATTGTGCATCTTCTATTCAAATGAATTGCAGCTTTTGCTCTCTCTTCTTCATAGTCTTTATAAGATTAAAGAGAGAATCTGTAATTTTGAAGTAATTTTTGATAAAATAATAATAAAAGTTTACAAATTTCAAGAAAGTTTGAATTTTCTTAATATTAGTTGAGACTAATCATTCTATAATAATTATTACTCAATTTAATTTTATTTTAATACTCTGAGATTTAATAATGAATCTTAAAAAGAGGGTTTTATTTTTAATAAATTTATATTAAGTGTATTTTATAAATAGATTTATATATTCTAAGTATTTAAGTATTTATTATATTTGCATCTAATGCTCATTCATTGAGTTTAAATAGATAAGAAAATATCATCTATATTATAAATCACATAATATATATTAAGAAGATCTGATAAAGTATAGTTTATATAAATTTAAAAGATGGCAGAGGCATTTGCAAGCTCAAAAAATATAATATTATTCTCAAAATAATTATAATATATATAAATAACTATAATAATAATATTATTTTTAATTTTTTATAATCTATAATATAGTTTGAAATTCAAAGATTGATAGTAAATTTTTTAACATAGTTTCTATAACTTTAATAACTATAACTAACTATTAACAAAGTAATTAATCAGTTTAATAAAGAAAACTATCAAAGATATTGATAGATTAAATATTTTAATTGATATTTTTTTATAATATAATTTGAAAATGAATAAAATTATGATTAATAAATATTTAATATTGAATTATAATTGAAAAAAGTAAATACATAATTTTTTTAATAATTATAAATAAATTTATATCTAAAAAGCTATAAATTAATAATTATATATTTTTATATTTATAGTATCAAAACTTTTTTTATTATTATCTTGTTTATATATTACTATAATAAAGATCTATACTCTAACTCTCATAATATTCAGACTCTGTTTTTGTACAATTGAAGCAGTGCTATCAAAGTAGCATTATCAAGATAGCATCTACTACTGAGACAATATCTCAATCATCTCTGTATAAGTGTCTAATTATCAAGATGATGTCTCAATCATTCTCAAATAAAAGCTTCTTATTATTAAAGCTCTGCTCTTTATAATAAAAATTTAATCTTTATATAATCTGTCTTTCTTTTTCCTTCTTTAATAATTTTATTTTATTTTTATACATATTAATTATTAGCTGTTCTTAACAACTATCTTATTATAATTATTATTTAAGATATTTTATAAAAATCAAATCATCTAAGATATAATATATTATTATTTATTTATATACATAAATTTTTTAAATTTTTTTATTTTTTTTAAGAAAATTCAATAATTAATTACTTTTTAATTCTATATTTATATTTTATTTACTATTATTTTATTTACTTTTCAATACTTTAAATATCTTTTTTTTATTTCTATATAATATTAATTATAGTATTTCTTATATTTTTTTGATACTTAGTTTATTTATATCAAATATTCTTATAGTTTTAATCACTCTAAGGAAAAATATTTGTTAAGTTTATAATAAGTTTAAAATATAACTTATATATTAATATCTTATTTATAAGATCTAATAAAGTATATATAAAGGAAACTTTATAAAAATAAATATTAAGTTAAATTTTAAAAAGGGATACTGAAATATTTTATATATCAACTAAAAAAAAAATTTTCAAACAGTTAAACATAAATAAAATTACTTAAAAAAATATAAAAAATTAATACTTTTATATATAAATTTAAGTTTCTAAGTAAAATAATATAAAAATAAAATTAATAAATTATATTATAAATATTAATTTTATTTTCTGTAAATATTTAAATAATAATTTTAAATATATATCTATACTGATTTAAAAATCATTATATTAATTTAAAATAAAAAATTTTAAAAAATTAGAAGATTTAATTTTTCAAAATTTACTTTTTATATTTATCAAAAATAATACTTTAAAAAATAATAATAAATATAGAATTTTTAAAACAGTAATATTTTTTAATATCAAACTTTAATAAAAATATAAATAATAATAAATTAATTTAAAAACATTTATCATTTGAAATAAGTTCTATAACTGATTTTTTATAAATGATGTAGTGTATTTATTAATAGAAGAAAGTATGTTAAATCATAGATAATAACACATCTTCAACCCTTATTAATTCAGAAGTTAGAAAAGGCCTCAAATCTGATCAAAATAACATCATCAAATGAAACCCTTTCCAGAAAATTTCTAAATTATTAATCAGATACAAATGTGGAAAAATGCTATGTATTTTATCATCGCATTTAGAAAACTTGTAATTGGATATAAGATTAAATAAACCAAAGACACATGCCCTTTTTCCAGGGAAGTCCATCTCCTCACAGAGCTCAATAGCAACCAACGTTACATACTTTCCCCTTCATTGCTATGAAGAAGACGTGCTGTATGCCCCTGTATCGTTCAGGGAAGAGGACCGAGGTATCGTGTTAAGTGCGGTGGTGGCTGGGTAGACCTCGGTATCTTCACAGGGGAAATATGAGTGATAGCCCCTGACCATCTAGTGAAATGTAACCAGCATTTAGCAAACTTCATATACGTATGCATCTCAGATTGAGTGCATGTTATTGAACTGAGGGAAAATTTGAGATTAGGTGACGAAATCCAAAAGCAAATGAATAAATGAGAAAGAGAAAATAAATCCATTATGTTTGTAGCATATGACAAAAAGGATATGATACTTCATATTTCAAACTCTGAAAAAGGTCAAAATATGAATAGAAAAGTAATAGGAAAGGAAAAGAATAGAGCAGAAAGGCAATACTCTTGCCTGCACTCTCCATAAAGTGTCCGGACAAAATTAGGCGTGATCAGTTGCAAGCAAAGACACAAGTAGACTAAAAGACAAAATGAAAAATTTCAGACATTCCAAACCTTTAATCCCTCTGATATTCTTCTCTCTTTTTACCCTCTAACATATATCTATCCGATAACTTCAGCCTCCTTACCCGCCATCTCCTTCTCCTTCACTGCTAACCGCTCCTTCTCCTCAGCTGTCAAATCTAACAACGGCACATGCTCACCAAACTTGAGAATCCGATGATATGCACGGATAATGCTATCCGCATCGTCAATAGCAATGGGCCTGATATCAGCCAGCTGCTTAATCTTGGCCGTGCACTCCTTGTACTCTGCATCAGTCATTTCGATATTAAGTTGCTGCGCGCGGGACTTGATGGCATTCCACCCAGTCAATCGAGAGGCGAAGTGGACGTAGCGGGTCATGCCGAAATCGGCCGGGTTGATGATCTCGTACGTGCTAGGGTTGTTGAGAATGGCCTTGGCGTGGATACCTGCCTTGTGCGTGAAGGCGCAGAAGCCCGTGATGTAGTTGTTGAAGGGAATGTTGACCTGCACGGCTTCGGCGACGAGGTCTTCGAGGTCCTTGATCTTCTCGAGCTTGTACTTGCTCTTGACGTAGTTGCGGTCCGCGGCTATCATGCGGGCCATCAGGCCGCCTAGGGGGGTGATGCCGTTGCGCTCACCAATGCCAAGAACGGAGGTGTCAATGTGCGTTGCGCCAGCTTCGAGAGCGCAATAGGCGTTGGCGATGGCGCAGCCTGTGTCGTTGTGGAGATGAATTTCAATGTCACACTTGACTATGCCGCGGAGGACGCGGACAAGGTCGTAGACTTGCCGTGGTGAAGCGCAGCCAACGGTATCTGCGATACCAACACGGTTGACACCAATTTCATCCACCGCAGTGTATATGGAAAGGAGGTCGACCAGATCGGATCGGAAGGAGTCTTCGCTAGAGAATCTGACTTCGATGCCCTTGGACTTGACGAATTGGATGACTTCAATTGCTGTGTTTTTGATGTAGGTCATATCCTTTCCGTGGGAGTGCTCGCGGAGATACGAAGAGGTACCAATAACAACGTCACTATTCATTCAGTGAGTACGATGTTCAAGGAGATGGTTCTCATTGGAAAAGGATATTGTCCAGCCTTACACTCCATCAACACCAGTCTCAACAGCTATCCGCGCATCATCCATATGGCATCGGATATGTGTAAGAATCTAGAGTGGCCTCATATGTTAATTAATGACTCTCAGAAGTATTGACACAGGATGTATATTCAAAATGTACATACCTTGGCCTTCAATCCAAGCTTGCATATAGCTTCGCAATCCTTCCTTGATTGCTCTGAAGCACATGGGCTAGTAAGTTCAATCTATCACAGTCAAATATCATTAGTCTAATTTGCTGCTTTCAAAAGTAACCCGTATTCTCCCAATATAAAAATCAAAATCTCAAATCTAAAATATGACTCACATAATCTACTCCAAATTCATCCAAGGCCTTCGCGATTTCAATCTTCTTCTCCGTGTCAAAAAAGGCATTGGCAAACTGCTCGCCCTCACGCAGGGTGCTCTCAATGATCTTGAATCTTGACACATTGCTCACGAAGTCTGTTACGCCTGCATTATGGCCATAGGGATTTCGTGTTCCGTGTGGGCTCTTCTCCAAACAAGCACCCATTGCGGTAGATGTGGGGGAATTGACTTTTATGCAGGGAGTTCAGGATAGATGCTCTTGTGTGGAGTGTTTTTTTAAAACTGCTAAGGGGTTTCAATAGTTCCGCAGTATTTATGCCGAAGGAGTTAAGTTAAATATGTTTATATATACGTAGGAGAGAAGGATATTCCAGCAGATGGGCCAAAGTAGGGGGTACCACAAAAATTTAAACGAAAATTACTAAAATACCGTATTTACAGTGGCAAACCGGAGGGAAACTTTGAATGCAACCAAACCAGCCAGTAAATTAGCGGCAATTTTTTTTTTCTCAGTAAGATTACCAGACAATACCACCTAGACAATTTTTTCAGTGATACGACCCACGTTAAAGTCTCACATGTGCATTGAAAATCATTTTTCAATTGCCTAATGTATTCCATGAGTACCTCATTTATAAAATCCTCTTTCTACTATGTTAATGAATTTATTAATAATAATAGTTAAGAATAGAATGCTATTAAATATTAAATAATGTAGTTTTTGTGAGTATAGAAATTAGCATAATTAAGAAAAATAATAAGTATTGAACTTAATGATATAGTTTGAGCAGTGAAAATATAATTGAAATAGAAAATTTGATACAACAGTGCTGGAAAGATCATTGAAAGTTGATTTCTCTACATTTTCTAATGAGAAAATTTCAAGTTATTTTCAATATCTTTTTCAAAATTTAGTCAATTTTTAAAATTTTAATTCAAGAATATTCTCATTGAAAGTCCTTACTAAAATTAATTAGTCTCTTAATTTTTATACTATTTAGACAAGATTTGAAGGATTAATTGTTGAAAATATATTTTTCTTTGAAAAGTAAATATTCAATAATAATTTTTATTATCAACCCACAATACTTAATCTAAAGAGTATGAAAATTGAATAACTAAGAGATTGATTAGATCAAAATAATCTAAAAAGTTTTCAAAAACATTCATCAAGTCATTGTTGAGAAAAGATACATTTAAGCTCTTTGAAAACTCTGTCAATTTCGATTTTCTTCTCACCACATCAAGTACCTCCTCACATTGCCCTCATCAAAGTTTATCTAGATATAGCAGAAAAGATATCTGTGGAAAGTGAAGAGCATATGATCAAAGATCCCTGCATCTAATCTTTGTAAACTATAGACTAAAGATTAAAACTAGCTGAGTATAGCTGAGAATAGAGATAAACTAGAACTAAGTATATATTTATAAAGACATCTCATAGAGTAGAGCTTTAACTAATTCTTTAACAAGCTTAACAGAGCTCAGTTGAGACTCAGTTAAAACTAACTAAAGCTTTAACTGAATTTGATTAAGCTCTAGTAGAGAGCATGTTTTATTAACATCTATTTTGAAAAATTAAACTTCATATTAGTTATGTAAAGAAAATTTCTTCAATATAGATAAAATCAATCAGTTTTTAACAATTTTTTATTATTAATTTTTCATCTTTTCTATATTTTAAA